AGAGAGAGAGAGAGAGAGAGAGAGAGAGAGAGAGAGAGAGAGAGAGAGAGAGAGAGAGAGAGGGAAAGTGCGTAACCGGGAACGGAGGGAGTGTAGAGAGAGAGAGAAGGGAGGAGTGTACCAAGAAGGAAAGAGGGGGTATCGAGAAGGGGAGAGAGCGTCGAGTGAGAAAAAGAGAGAGGGAGAGAGAGAGAGAGAAAAGCAAAAGGGAGGGAGCAAGGGAACGAGTCCCGAAGAGTTCAAAGCTTGACTGATCTGAGGGTTCAGTTAGACGGTGCATGGGGTCACCAGTTCACTGGAACTAGTCAGTTTCCGTTGGAATGCAGGGTTTGGTTGATCTGAGTTTCCAGCTGGTCCATTCACTGAGTCGAAAGTTCGTTGTTGTGTTCAGTTCTGATAGGCCCCAAAAAGTTTAGGAGTCGAAGGGTCCGAGTTTTTCAGCTTGGAGGTTGAGATCGGGGCATGTGTTGGTGAATACCTTGTGATCAGACGTGGAGATTGGAGGGGGTTGAACTCGTGATTGAGGTGGAACTATTCTTGGTGGGCGAGGTGCCGCTGAGACTGTAGTGGGACCACGTGGGACTAGTAAGTGAGAGCACCCTATTTGAGGGCTATCTCGCTTCAGTCCTAGTGAGTGGCGCCTGTATCGGTGATGACGTTTGAAAAGGACGTTGTGGACGACCGCAACTTGTGAGTTATGTGACCGATCTTCTCTTTAGAGAAATACTTGGCTTTCTTGAGTGAGCCGTCTTCAACTTCACTCAAGGTCAGTTGTGACTCAGTTCCCCTTACACACCTGTGTGAACCTACACCTTACATGACCTTGCTTTGAATTCAGGGAAAAGGTAGAGTAAGATGTGTGCCGTCATGCATGTGGGAAAAGAAGGCTGACTTTGGTTGGCATATGAATGATTTTTGGGTTGTTTCTTCTGTTATTGTGCAGGTAGGTAAAGGATATATGTGAGAAGGGATCGACACTATGCTTGTTCAAGGAATGATGAAAATGTTAACCTCTTCTTCAACTCTTTACCTGTCTGCATGTCAAAGAAGAACATAGTGAAAAAGAGGAATTGACGGGTGCCGGAAAGATGAAATGCGTGGAAGATGAAGATAAAGATAAGAAAATAGTTTAGTATCTTCCCAAAAACATCTCGTTCTATCTCGAATGACACTTTCTTTATGTACCCGTCTAAAAAAATCTCGGTTTTTATCTTTATCTTATTCCCTTTTCGTCTAAGTCAAAACCCAGTCAGAGTACAGGGAAATGACTACACCTAGTAATTGGGGTTCCTTCTCTCTAGGAGGCATCCGGGGCAGGGGTTCGTTCCTTTAGGAGCCGTCTCTGTTATTGACCCGAAGTGAACCGTTTAATGGGGGAATACCATGCTGTATCGCGGTGGAGCCAACCCAAGTTTTGAGATTTGAACAATGTGTTCGGACGAGGAGGAGGGGTATTCCAGACCACTTTCTAAAGGGTGGGATGTTCTACAGTAAAGGGTAGCCGTTTTTTCTTTCTTTCAAGTGAGGGAAAATTGAATTCAACACCTTTCTTTTTTGGGGTCATTTTAGGCGTCACCAACGTATGAGCTGTCTCTTATACACATCTAGATGTGTATAAGAGACAGATACCATGCTGTATCGCGGTGGAGCCAACCCAAGTTTTGAGATTTGAACAATGTGTTCGGACGAGGAGGAGGGGTATTCCAGACCACTTTCTAAAGGGTGGGATGTTCTACAGTAAAGGGTAGCCGTTTTTTCTTTCTTTCAAGTGAGGGAAAATTGAATTCAACACCTTTCTTTTTTGGGGTCATTTTAGGCGTCACCAACGTATGAGGAACTGGTGCCAAAAAAGTCCAGTTCATGTTTCAAATAGTGTCAAAGGAGTGCAAGTAGGCACTGCCTTCGCGGCAGGTCCGTGACATAAGAATCACGGTCCAGGGAGGAGAAGAGAATTGAGTACGAAGATTGATATATAAAAATTTATGTTGACAAAATTATCTCTTTGTCGTCCAGATGTCTACAGGAGCGGTGATTATTCGATTGTTCAGTACGTAAGAAGCGGCAATAGATTGGATAGCAGTGCCGACACGATCACGTGTCGGTATGATACGAAAAGGACGTTTGGTTTACAATCCGCATGAAGTTTCTTCAGAGCGAGATGAACCGAGATTTTGGGATGGGAGCGTGAGGAATCCATAGTGAAGTTATATCTTCCTGATAGAGCATGAACAACATATTGTGCTGTATGATTTTGCGCCTCCTAATCCATCACGAGATTACGGAGATATGGATCTCGTTGTAGTTCATGAAGCAAATTTAGTTAGAGAAGACATTCTTGAGATTAGAGGAATGTTTCTCTATATTGTGCTATGGCTAAATGATCAGCAAGGTCCTTTCAGTCTTCTTCATCATGTGAAACAGGTACGAGTGAATATATTTAGCATCTTTCGCTCTGAACGTTTTGAGGTCATCGCATTGATGATGAGGCTTGTAAGATCTGGGAACGTTTTTTTTAATTGACGACTTCTTCGGGTGTGCAAATGATTAGCGGACGACAGGATCTCACTCAGGCAAGATATCTGTTGGTACGTGACACTATGAATGAGGAGTTAATTCAGCGCGCGGAGTGATTTTTACTTGTTCAGGATGATGCACCTACTCGTTGGGTTGGTTTTGTTGGATTGCTCAAAGATGGACAAGGACTTTTCCTAACTCGCGCACGGACGTCCGAGCTAACGTGGCTCGACTTCCGAATGAGTTTTATGGATATACGTTACCCTATCCGGGGAACGCTACGCCGTCATCCGGATCAAGGACACCGCACCCTTCGATCCAGTGCCAAGTTGTGACGGCCAAGTCGTTTCGGGTCACTTGCGCTTACGAGCGGACCGACAAGATAGGCCTATGTTTTCTACGGATTGTCGCGACGACAAAATCTTCACCTACGGAGTTCTCTTTGGACCCCTGAGTGGTACGGTTGCTCGACTAGCTCACCGACATCTTCGAGTCTCCTACCGGTGTGGTGCTGGATCGGCTAATCTCCCATGAGATCATTCTTGAGGTCGGTGTTGTGTCGCCGAAAGGATGCATCTATGGCATGAGCGAGGAAAAACTCGTGATTCTCCGCGCGCAACTCGCTGATTTATTGGACAAGTGCTGGATCCGCCCTAGTAGCTCACCATATGGTGTGCCAGTTTTCTTCGTACGGAAGAAGAACAAGGATCTTCGCTTGTGCATCGACTACCACAAGCTCAACGCACAAACCGTCAAGAATGCAGGACCTCTTTCACGCATTGACGATCTTCTCGAGTGTTTGAGCGACGCAATTGGACTTAAAGTCGGGCTATCATCAGATCTCGATGCGCCCGCAAGATCGCTACAAATTCGCGTTTAAGACGCGGTACGAGCATTTTCAATAAGTTGTTATGCCTTTCAGCCTCACCAATGCCCCAACGACTTTTCAAGCGGCGATGACCAACGAGTTTCACGGAATGTTGGACCGATTTGTGTTGGTCTACTTGGACAACATCCTCGTCTATAGCCGGACCTTGGAGGATCATCTCGAGCACCTTCGACATGTGTTGGAGACGCTCCGTCGCGCCAAGTACAAAGCCAACTGCGACAAGTGCAAATTCGTGAGTCAAGAGTTTGAGTACTTGGGCCATTTTGTCACATCAGAGGGCATTAATCCGTTGTCGGACAAGATTCAAGCGATCAAAAAGTGGTCGGAGCCGAAGAATGTCACGAATGTATGTTCCTTCCTTGGCTTAGCCAACTACTATCAACGCTTCATCAAGGGATATTCGAAGATCATGACCTATTTATCCAAGCTTCAATGCGAGGACCGACCATTCCATTTCGACGACAATGCGCGGGCTTCCTTTTTGGCCCTCAAAGCCGCATTGCTATCTGCGGAGGTGTTGCGCATGTACGATCCGCTCTTGCCGACACGCGTCACTACTGACGCGTCCGGTTGTGGCATTGGTGTCATCCTCGAGCAACATGATGGTGTGGACTGGCACCCAATCGAGTACTTTAGCAAGAAAGTGCTCGTCGTGCACTCGATTGACGACGCACGGAAGCCGAAATTATTGACCTTCATACATGCGCTTAAGTGCTGGCGACATTTTCTTCTCAGTCGACGACAGTTTCGATGGGTAACGGATAACAATCCATTGGTCTTCTACAAGACCCAAAACACAGTCAATAACACCGTTGCTCGTTGGATGACCGTTATTGACCAGTTTGACTTCTTCCCTGACCACATTCCGAGCAAGTCTAACCGTTTTGCGGATGCTCTTTCACGGCGTCCGGACCATTTTACCACAGTCTACTCGACTTTCGAGATTGACGACGACTAGCGGGACAGCTTCATCCGCAGCTACCTAGTCGACCTCGAGTTTCACGACAAGTACGCAAATTATTCCTCTCCCAATCTGGCACCATCGCACTATCGGATCCAAGAGGGATATTTTCTCGTCTACTTGCAGGGGAATAATCTCCTTTGCGTGCCGAGGGATTCACACTTGAGCACGCGGCTTCTTGGCGAGTTCCACGATGCTCCCGCCAGTGCCGCCAGACATTTTGGACTCAATCGTACGATTGGCCGACTTCGTGAGCGCTTTTGGTGGCCCGGTCCTCTCGACAACGTCACACGCTATTACAAGTCATGCGGGGGTTGGCGACATTGCGAATCCCGCAATCATCGTCCATACGGCGAGTTGCGACCATTACTGGTCCCATTGCGCCGAAGGGAAGCGATTGCCATGGACATTTCCGGGTCGTTCCCCAAGCACAAGACCGGTGTGGATGAGATTCTCACGGTGGTCGACCGACTCACCAAGTTTGCCATGTTTTGTTTTGCCGCTATCATGCCAAGGCACCGGAGTTGGTCGAGGTTCTTTACGCCGGCTGGATTTGCACCAAGGGTTACCCCAAGGAAATCGTTTGCCACCGCGACACTCGGTTTATGTTCGATTTTTGGTTGGCGCTCATCAAACGATGGGGCTCATCTCTCAATCTGAGTTCGGCTCGCCACCCTCAAACCGATGGCTAAATGGAGAGGGCGCATCAGACCGCACAGGTCCTACTTCGCACTCTCATCCGTCCCGACCAAAAGGATTGGGTTGAGCGGCTGTCGGATGTCGAGTTGGCATACAACTCGTCTATTAATCCGATTATCGGGATTTCACCCTTAGAGTTCGAGCATGGCTCGCCGGTCACCTCTCTGTTGGACACAATTATCCCACGGGCGGTCAAGAGCGACGACCATCTCTCTTCATTCGTTGGATTCTTGTCAAGACACACGACAAGATGTCGAAGACGCAGGTCACACAGCAACGTCCGCGCCAACAGGCCAACCACCAGTGTCTTCCTTGTCCAGTCCGCGTCGGCGACCTTGTATGGGTCTCCACCGTGGAGTTCAGCCTCGAGCAAGATATCTCTCGCAAGCTCCTTCCGAAATGGATGGGGCCCTGGCCCATTATGGCACTTGTTGAGGATGCATCTGAAGGACCGTCATTTGTCATTTAGGTGCCCGCCCACTTTCCTGTCTACCCGGTCTTCCATTGTTCTAAGTTAGCGCTGTTCACTCCAGCGGAACACAATGACTTTTCCGGGCGACGATTGCAAGACCCACTCTCTATGGACAGTTTTCAAGAGGTTGGTGACATCATTTCCCAGTGACGCTACGACAACAGGCCGACAGAGTACTTGGTACATTTCACATATTGTAGCCATAAGGCTGACCGCAGCATTTATTTATTTCTTTACTTATTTCTTTGTTGTCTTATTTTTGTATGTGCAAACGTCGTTTCGGACTTGCAGGCCCCAAGGCTACGTCTTGGGCTGGGTACACAGGGGCAGGGCCGTTTTTAGGCCAGGCGCGTTTTGGCGCCCTGCTGCATCAGCAGCACGGTCTGGACGCCCGGTAGGGGCCCAGACCGCGTAGGCCGTTTTGGACCAGCATCAGAGCCACGCCCAGTCAGGTCCAGCGCTACTTATAGCTGGGCTACGGCTGGGCACACACAGTTCGTGTAGCTCACTTCTTGGGCGACACACTGCTGGACCAGCACCGCACGCGATAGCGCTGCGCTGCGTTAGAGTAGAGGATAGGTAGGCAGAGGGGCAGCGCTGCGTTAGAGTAGAGGATAGGTAGGCAGAGGGGCAGAGGCCTTACCTGCGGTGGCGAGCTCACCTGGCGCCATAGCTGGGGCTCCACGCCGGCGACCTGCACACGCGACGACGACGACGCAGATAGCACCGGGCCACTACCTGCAGGTGAGACAGCGAGGAGGACGACATCTTCTTCTTCTTCTTCGCCCTTCATCTCTCCTCCCTCCTACCTTCTTCCTCTTCTCCTTCTTCAGAGAGAGAGAGAGAGAGAGAGAGAGAGAGAGAGAGAGAGAGAGAGAGAGAGAGAGATTACTGGCAGAGGTTTCACGGGCATACACCCAGGATCTGATTCGACATTTTTGCGGCAGACATTGATTGCACACTCGGCAAGGCACTATTTTTGGACTTCGCTATCGCGATCTTGGTCTTCTCCCTCGCCTCCACCTTCGTCTCGCCTCCCCCTATCTCTCATCCGTGGTATCTCCCCCATGTGTGTGTGAGGAGGGACCTTTCTTCAGTGTATGTGGTCCCTCCTCCCTCTCTCGCATGTGTGGTGTATGATGGGGTGTCGCGTCAGTATCTGACAGGTCAGATCATATCTTCAAGTCTTACGTTGCGCTACATTGTGCTATTCCATATGTATCTGGATGTACATTGCTGGTTGATTCTTGGCTGGCACTGCATTCTCCATACGAGTCCTTTTCATCACTTTGCGGATCCTTGGCTCCCATACATCGACCGAGCGGGCATGTATCAGATGGTCCCCAACACCTGAGGTGTTCACATCAGCTCTAGGGTATGGCCACCAGTGGATGTCATGCAAAAAAAAACGAAATCAGAATAGAAGGCCAAGGCTCAAGCATGGCCGGTGCTGACTCACTTGCTCTGTGGGGCCATCTTCTTCCTTTGTATGGTATGCTGGGGCCAAGTCCCACTAGCAGCTTCGAGTTTCCTCAACACCTGAATCTGGGCGTGTTTGAGGAGGTGTGCAGAAATCGCTTTGAGTTCACAGCTTATAACTGTTCCAAAGATTTGTTAGAACTCAGAAAGATAAAAGAAAGGCGAAAAGAAGAAAAGGAAATGGGAAACTGTTACAGTGCTTTGATGGTTGCCAGCCTTGAGAGGAGAAGGATGATCGATGTGCCCATTTCTCTCTTTTCATTTTTAAGGGGTAGCGCATTATATCCGTGTGATCTGGTTGGGATTGGAACTCAATTTCTGTTTTTGTTTACTGCTCAGCCACAAGCATATACTCGCACTATCGTCTTCCCCGGAACCCACAAGCATTCTCGCACCTTTTTTTCTTCATTTTTTTCACACAGGCTCCATCTATTCATGGGGAGTACCGTCTTCCCCTGAGCAAAATGCGCCCTTTATAATGAATCTATACATTCAGATCAAGGGGGACCTCTGGTCCAATACAGTAATGATAATGGTGCATTGTGTTCGAGGGAACACGGTAGAACATTTTTCCCCGAGCTCAGGATGTAATTGTGGACAGATACGTCCAGGTCAAGGTGGAACTGCGGTCAGATGCACCCAGGAGAGTCCTACTGTGAGTATGCCCTGATTCACCCTTTTCCTCTGGATGGGTGCAATGGGCACGTAAGAGAGGGGGTGCAGCTGGAAACGCGGGAAATCTACTGGTAGTTCCCTACTGGGGGGAACAGATGAGAGTAGAGTGAATGGGCCTGGCTCCACCAGGACCACCACTGTTGAAAACTGATCGAGAGCTATCAATAGATCCATGGAGAGGACTGTCTGTCAGTGATTTTCTCGAGTCCTCAGCCTGCATACTCTCAAAAATCAAGGGCACTCTCCATCAGCCTCGATTTTGAGAGTCGGTTGCACATGAGACCCCACTGTCAACTTTTTGTTCTTTTTCTGAGTTTTTTTCCCATTTTAGTGTGGTGAGAACAAGGAAAGAACAACCACCGCCACAAACAATCATCAAACACTCCAGAAAACATATCAGACACATGAAAACCCTAAACACCCTATGTTACATGCCCAGTTGGGCGATGTACATATGTAGTCGAGGATCCGCAATGTGATAAAAAGGACTGAATGGACAATGCAGTGCTAGTAGAATCTCAACAAGCAGTGTACATCCTGATACATACAAAAATGGTGCTTTGTAGCGCTGTGGAAGACTTAGATATAAGTCCTGACCTGAACGGGACTGACCTCTCTCACGTAGTACAAGATTGTGCAGCAGAGTGCTAGAATACCAAGGACTAGCCCAATCAATGTCGCAATACGGACCAAACATACATCATCCTCATCACAAGGTGTGAAGGGGGGCCTGGCGCTACACACAGGAAGAATGCGCCAGGTCCAGACCAGACACAGATGAAGAGGAGGGGATCAGACTAAGAGGAAGGGGGAAGATGGGCATGTCGTCAACACCAAGTCTTCGGTACAAGTCCCAGACAATCCCTCGTCAACTGTCTGAAGTCCAATGTCGAGTCTGGATCCAAATGTCACCAAGCCCGCTCTCTCATAGTCTGCTGATGCAGTGAAGTCAGGTAGCGAGAGGGTGAGAGGGASATGGTGGACTGAGAAGAGGAAGAAGAAGAACTCTCTCTCTCTCTCATGTGCCAGGTACTAACCTGTGAAGATGGCGCTGTGCTGCAGGTACCTCGAAGACGAAGCTGGAGCTATGGCGCTGCAGGTAAGTCTCCCTGGCCTCCGCCCAATCTCTCTCTCCCTCCAGTACTAGTGCCATCCTACTAGTGCCCAGCGCTGAAGACTACTGCTAACGCTACTACTACTACCGCAGTGCTCCTCCAGAGTGCTGCTGCCGAATCCTGAAGACTACCTCCTGCTTCCTGAACTGCACGTGAAGTGCCTGGGAAGTCCCTATGAACTACCTGCAGCCTGCAGGGCGGGCCAGTCCTATATAGTGCTGGCCCGTCCAGGAGGCTGCTCTTGCCAATGCCAAAACGTGCCAGACCCTGGCGTTGAAGCTCAACCAAAGGTTGTCTTGAAAACAGGCCTGAAATGGTCTGTGCTAAAACCCTGGTCTGGTGCCTAAGTTTCAGGGCAGGTCGATCTTATGAGGGCCTGAAAATGGCCCTCTGTTTCAGGCTGAAAAGACTCAGGGCCTGGAAGGCTGAAACAACACAGGGCCTGTAGGCCCTTGTTTCAGGCTTTCAGGCTGAAACGACACAGGGCCTGTAGGCCCTTGTTTTCAGGCTTTCAGGCTGAAAACGTCACGGGCCTGAAAATGGTCCGTGCAGCCTGTTGCAGGCGCAGCATGTAACACCCTACCTCCCACCTGAGGGGCAATCAACTCCCCATGTTGATTGAAACCGAGGGCCGGACAATTCCAATCAACGAAGGGGACATCAACTATCCTACACCCATCTGCTGCCAGACATCGAGGAGCACTTCAACAATGACCTTGTTCTCACCACATTAAAATGGGAAAAATACTCAGAAAAAGAACAAAAAGTTGACAGCGGGGTCTCAGCGTGCAGCCGACACTCAAACTCGAGG